CCCTCTAGTCTTACACTGTTAAAGTAGGGACGGCTAGCGCAGTTAGGCCTCGTGTAGCTTTGCGCGAAATTCAAAAAACAAACAAAAACAAAACAATCACCCAGACTTTAAGCCAGCTCACCCAGATTTTGAGCTACTGACCAGAAGGAGGTCAGTCGTTCAGCGGGACTCGCTGCCATGTACAGGGGGTTTGTCCCTCTTTTAATTGAATATCACTATTATAATGCGCTCACATCATTTGTTTTGTTTGTTTTTTAAATTTTGCGCAAAGCTATTCGAGGGACATCTGCACTAGCCATTCCAATTTGAAGTGATAGACTAGAGGGAAGGCAGCTAGTCAACATCACCCGCTACCAACTGTTGGGCTACTCTTACCAACGAATAATGGGAGTGACCGTCACAATATTAACGCTTCCACGGGTAAAAGGGCGAACATGTTTTTGGGATTGGATTGGAACCCACGACCCTCAGATTGCGACTGGAGTGCCCTATATATATGTGTGTGTGTAAATAACAAAACGTATATGAATTTGTATTGCAGTTGGATCTTATTTATTCTGCACACATAAATAATGTATTCCTCACTTAGTTACTTAGTATCGGTTTGAAATATCGAATTTTCTTCGAAACAAGATGCGATGAGATTATAAAATGCGTTAAAAGGTTAAAAACATTTACGTTTTGAAACTATCTCAAGAAGTTTAGCTGAAAACAAACGAAACAGAGCTGGTGTGTTATTTCAAAGCAATACTAGAAGAAAAATACCATTCATATAGAAAGTTATAGTTTAGCTGTGTTGCATTGGCGCCAAGATGTTTTATTGTGTTAACGTCGGCAAGTAAATTCTGAATGACTTTAACTTATATTTAATAATAATAATAATAGTAATAAAAATAATAATAAAGAGGAACTTTCTCAGCTGATGAAAATGGGTGGACTTCAGTGATTCGTGCATTCTCTCAAAATTAAAATTCTTCACTTAGTCTATAACATTGATTGCCGTCATATTTTTCACAGAATGTAGTTCTCACGGTGCTAGTACTTACTTCGAGAATTTTCCTTATCCAGGCACTTTCCCATACCGGATATCAGAAAAGAAATAGTGGTAAAAGTATAAATACGTATTTTGACAACACAAAGTAGACTGTCAAACTACATGACGGGCAATTAATCAGGAGGTCTAAGGTTCGAACCGCGAAAGGCCGTTGAACACTTTCAGCTGAGGGGGGCCCCAGTGGCACAGAGGTATGTCTGCTGACTTATAACGCTAGAATCCGGGTTTTGATACCCGTGGTGGCAGAGCACAAATAACCCATTATGTAACTTTGTACTTAATTTCAAACAAACAAACAATCGGCTATGGGGACGTTATTACTGTAGCAATCAATCTCGTTATTTGGTTAGGAATAGCCACGTAGGGGGGTGAGTGCTGCTCACTGTTTGTTAG